ATGCATCCTGGTCTTGTGTCTTACAGATAATCTTACAAATAGTCCTTTGCATTTATATCATGCTTTCAACTTTAAAAGGATCATCATGCTGATTGTGTGAACTTAGGCAAATCACGAGAGGTAGTGCAGGAAGGGTTGCATCAGTGCTTAGTTCTTGTGGCCCTTTCTTACACGCCCAGGGAAAGGCTGATCGCCACTTTGGGGCCAGGAAGCAATTTTTCTCCAGGCCATTTTGGCCCCCAGTGATCCTGGAGGGTTTTTAAAATTATATTCTGGGCGTGGAACAGGGGTCACTGGGGTGTGTGTGGGGTATTGGTGAATTTTCTGCATTGTGCAGGGGGTTGGACTAGATGACCCTGGAGGTCCCTTCCCACTCTATGAGTCTATGACTCTATAATTCACCCAGGCTGGCTGTGGGCATGCCAGCACCTCTGTCAGGCAGAAGCGCCTGAGATCTCTGCATAGGTGCAGTGTTCTAGCTTTTGCCCAGAATTGTATGGTTAAACCATAGGGTTTTGAGCAAATGTGACATCACTTCCAGGTAGGGTCTCCTTGTTTCCCTGTCTGTTGCCCATCAGCCTGGTTTTTGTGTGTGTGTGGTCCAAATCTTACAATAGAATGTCATGCTGGCATTGCACCAGTGATGTATTGTCACTTCTGGGTATTCGCTGGAAGAGACATATGACATTGGCACAACTTCATTGTCCCCCCTCTCCCCCCCTACTTTTGGGTCACACCAGGAATTACATCACTGCATTGCCAAAAACATCAGAACATTACTGGGGAAGGGCCCACCAGCTGGTGAGTCTCTTGCACTCTAGGAGGCTCTTAAGCTTTTCCCCCATGCATTTTCCTGACCTGAACCAGCCTCGGAGATTATTTCTGGCCTGTGGGGAGGCTGCAAGTATTGATGGGGCAAATAATGGCCCTGGCCATTTTGAGTCAGGAAAGTGGCATGGATGGAGAGCCGAAGCCTCCTTTCCTCTGAGCCAGTTTGGTATAGTGGTGTAGTGGTTAAATGTGTGGACTCTAATCTGAGAGAACCGGATTTGATTCCCCATTCCTGTACTTGCAGCTGCTGGATGACTTTAGGCAAGCTATAGTTCTGTCAGAGCTGTTTTCTCAAGGAAAGAGCTCTCTCAGCCTTACCTACCTTACAGGGTGTCTGTTGTGGGGAGTGGAAGGGAAAGGAGTTTGTAAGCTGCTCTGAGACTCCTTCGGGTAGTGAAGAGTGGAGTATAAATCCAATCTCTTCTCTTCTTCTTCTGACTCATGATCCTCATCTGAATGAGGCCTCAGCAGTGCTTCAGAATTAAGTTTCCATGGAGAACTTGTAGCTGCCATGTATGGTTGCAAGTCCTCACATAGGATTTCCAGTTTCAGCTTGGGAAATTCCTGGAGATTTGAGGCAGGGCTTGGGGAGGGTGCAGTTTGTGGAGGGGAGGGAGCTCAGTCGAGATATGATGGAAACCCTACCTAGTGGTCACAAATTACAGGTAACTGGTGTTGAACCAATTTGCCTCTCTTCTAGAACAGAATTGCAATCCTTGACTGAATAAAAAGTTACATTGAATATCCATGCTCTATCAGTTTATAGCAATGCTATGTTTTCCTCTTTTTCCTAACCAGATTAAGAAGAAACAGCAAGAGGTAGTGGGCTTTTTAGCAGCCAACAAGATTGACTTTAAAGAACTGGACATAGCCTGTGATGAAAACAACAGAAAATGGATGAGAGAAAATGTTCCAGGCGAAAAGAAGCCACAAAATGGAATCCCTCTCCCTCCACAGATCTTCAATGAAGAACAGTATTGTGGGGTAAGAAATGTACAGATTTATTTGAATGGGCATGTGTAACTGGGTCTGAGAACCATAAGTGACGGGATTAAAATGGCATTCTTCAGTTGAGACCGTGTTTCCTGTTTTAAGAAAATGTACAGATATACTTCAAAAAGGTGGTTATGGGATTTTTTGCTTTAATTTTAAGCTTCCTGTTCTCTTACGCCTCCTGTTGCAAGATGATTATAAAGAGAAAATACAGAATGAGAGCTTGTTACAAGTGGGAATTCTGTAAAGAAAAGTATACGGAATTTATAGCAATTAGCTACTGGAGAATTAGACTCTGTATGCAGTCAGAGTACTGGTGTGCATATATACTTCTTAAACATAATTTATGGGCTGCCAGATTGCACACTCTCAATCCCAGAACATTCTGGTGTGAATTCTTACATGCTTAACACTCACTTTCAGTTTGATTTTAACTATGATTTAACTTTCCTAGTTTTTAATCTAGGTTATTGAATGCTGGTTAGTTTTTGCCATGGCTAACACTACCCATAAGACTCAACAGTAATCAAGGTTGGTAAGAGAGGAATGGGAAAATTTTTTACTCTAGATGTGGGAGGAGCTGGAAGGTAGAGGTGTGTGTGTGTGTGTGCATGTGTTTGCAATATGCCAAGATCACTACTCGTCGACCTATCTAGAATGAGCCTGCCAAACACGTGACACTTCCTGGAATTAAGTTTTGATTGATTGCATAGGTACACCTGTAAACTTCCTGCTTTCATAATACCTTCTTTGCTTATATTAGACACTTCCTTGAGTGAATGATAACAAATGCAAATGCAGAAGCATTCAGAAACCAGTCAGAGCCTGGCAAAGCAATGTTCATAGCCCCTGTCACTCAATCTTATGATGACAAAAATGGATGTTGGAATACATTCTCTTTTTTCCTGTCTGCTGTGTACAGACACTTGGATTAGCAGAGGGAGATGGTGAGGAATGGGCTTCCTTTGGAGGTTGAGCATTGGTAGTATTCACTCACAAGTGTTCACCTCTGTGAGGAGTTCCCCACAATTTCTGTTTGCTAAAGATCATTGCTGTCTATATGTGTGTGGGGCGTGGACTTTTGGTTTATGGATTAGTTGATTTCCTTGAATTATCCCGAAGCTGTTTGCTTTGGAGGTATCTTTGAGATGGTGTTCATACTGGCTCTCTGATGATGGTATACTGTAGTCAGCTTTTTGTGGATGAATCTGTCAGTGGACTGATCTGTAAAAGATCTTTCCTTGAGCAGTGTTGTAAGAATGCAACTGTAGCCCTTGTCAGTCTAAACTAACCCTGTATAGTGTTACCTGCACCTCTTGATTCGTAATGGTCTGGTGTGTGCCCCTTACCAAGGCGGGTAGAATGTTAAAGGAAAGTTAGCTGGAATGCAACACAAAGTTATTTAAACAATAAAATAGTTTATTAGCTAAAGACATGCAAGCAATACAAAACAGAATACTTACTTCCTTAAAAGAAAAAAAGACAGTCAGTGGTTATATATATATAACAAAGATTCCCCATGCACAGAAAGCTTTCTGGACTGACCCAGGGAGACCACGAAAGACAAAGCCTTCCCTGTATCTCTCCCAGAGCCAGTGCTGAAATGAAGCTTCTGGCCTTTTTTTATACCATTCTGGTCCCATACATTTCGATAGAGCCATAGAAATTATAAACTGCAGCAATTAATCTAATTGCCCTGTTAATATGGGCCATCAGGGCCTAGGAGATGTTCACACATTCCAGAGGCAATGGGGCACCCTGAGCTCCTTTGCAAAACAATACAAGATAGCACCTGCATTTCTAAATGACAAACACAAGAATGTTACAATTTCAGGATGTTCTTTGTTTCCTTGACTCAGAGCAGACATTCAGGCACTGTCTGATGGCTGGAGGTGTGATGTGGGTTTCTGCATGTGGGCAAGCCTTAGTATTTGCAAATATCCTGGCTTCCTTGACTTAATGGCAGGTGCATACCAATCTTTTATTCTTAAATGTTTCCAAATTCTTTAGGTTCATGAACAATGAAATGCAAATGTTGGTTTCTGTGTAAGACAGAGGAAAGATATCTCTTGAGACAGAGGCCTAGCAAATTCCTGTTGGGAGTCCTGTACTGCTAGCTGTTTGGAAAGTTACAGAAATCGAGGAGAGAAAAAGACTATGATTTATTTATGAAATTAATTGTATAAATGGGTTTTAAATTTTCTGAACCATCTTATTTTTTCTCTCACAACAAGCAGAAAGTTTAGATCACTGGGATTTTGGTCTCTTCCAGTTTTAGTTTCATATGTCAGAAGGAGACTGGATTGAAACTATGGATTGCATTCTAAGCAGGCCTGTATCTGAATAAGTTAAAATGATGGGCCTAGGAATACAGCAAGCCATTGTGGAACAGTGATCTGATAAGCTAATTCGAGAGGGATGTGGCTCAGTGGTAGAACATCTGCTTGGCTTGCAGAAGGTCCCAGCTCAGCATCTTCTGTTAAAAGGATCAGGTAGTAGGTGATGTGATTGTCTATCTTTTCCATGTGTGCCACTTAAAACACTTTTCAGTCCCTTTCCCACTGTTGGCATGCACATGTAAACAGTTCAGGTTTTGGCTTGCCCCTTGCCCAGCTGGCCTGGAGGTTCAGGCTCGGTTGTCACCAGTATGCTGATGACACCCAGCAATATCTGCTAATGGATGGCTGACTGGATACCACCACATCTATTTTGGCTGAAGGGCTAGAGGCCATAGCTGGGTGGTTGAAGCAGAGCTGGCTGAAACTGAATCCTTCAAAGACAGAGGTTTTGTGGCTGGGTGAGAGGACTATGGGATTGGCGTGCCAACTCCTGGCTCTTGGCGGTGTACCTCTAGCACCGGTACCAACTGCCAAGAGCCTGGGTGTGCTCCTGGAAACCTCCTTATCTATGGAGGCCCAGGTCACAAACATTGTCAGACTAGCATTTCTCCAGCTATGCCAGATCAGGCCCCTTGCCCCCTTCCTGTCTCACTGCAACTCAGCCACAGTTATCCATGCAATGGTCACCTCCAGGGTAGACTACTGTAATGTGCTATATGCAGGACTGCCCTTGAGTCTGATCCAAAAAAATTACAACTTGTCCAGAATGCAGCAGCACGGGTCCTTACTGGGACCCATTGACATAACATATTTAACCAGTGCTTTGCCAGCTGCACTGGCTCCAAGTTGAGTACTGGATTAGGTTCAAAGTTTTAGTACTGACGTTCAAGGCCCTAAACAGTCTGGGACCAGCGTATCTAAGGGACGCCCCCCCCCCAGAGCATTATGCTCTGGAGAAAAGAACTTCCTGGTGATCCCTGGCCCAAAGGATGTCTGGCTGTCCTCAGCCTGAATTGTATTTATAAACTGTTGCAAACTGCCCTGAGCCCCATTGGGGGGAAGCCGATATAGAAATCAAATAAACAAACAATGAAGGCTGGTTTATAGCTTTATTTAAGCTGTCTTCAACTTTATAATGCAGATGTGGCTTGGGCCTGAGTCAATGTCTCAGCAGTTGAATACCTGACACGCTGTTTCTTTTCATTTTGTATTATGAAATCACCACACAGATGATGGTTAAGGGATTTCTTGTCATAATCTTGTAACAATGATTTTCCAAAAGTTCTCCAGGCTAGTGAGCCTCAGTAGGGGGCAGTAAACACTAACTGCTACTGTGGAGTCTGCTTTAAACTGCAGTCCATGGTAGCTTCCACCATGCAATTAGCCATTTTGCGTATCAGCTTGCCTTGTAGATCTGGTAATTTTTCTTCACATCACGATAGATTCATAAATTAAATAAATACATGAGGGTGCATAGCAGCGTGAATATTATTGCCAAATACATTGTGTGCAAAGTAGAAGCAGCCACTATGGGAAGGAGGAAGAAAATGATACAGGAAAATGTAAAGTCGCTTTTTAGTGCGTATCAGTCAAGAAAAGAAAAAAAAAAGGCTGAGCCTGCCCAAGTAGATTTCTAATACATGAATTGGTACTTTAGGTGGCACATTTGAGGAAGGCACATACTCTTAACATGTAAGGCATGGGCAGGGCTTATTGGTGACAGAATTCACTAGTACAGAGTGCCAGTGCCTTTTTTCAGGGCTCTTCCAGCTCCTGATCCACATGTGCCAGCTTGCCCATTCAGCCAGAGAAAGAGAGAGGAGGATGTAGCCTGAGGCAGGCATGTACATTGCTGCCAGAAGGGATGTGCAAGGGTGCAAGCCACCATGGCCAGGACTGGTGCACAGATCGTGGTGCACCACCAATCGAGCTACTGCAAGAGTTATACATGGATGGACCCAGGTACACATGAGCCCAGACATACCCTGAAACACCACACCTGAGGCGGGTGGGAAGAAGAAGCCCAGCCACCCTTACTCTGCTCTGCCCACTCTCTTCCTTCCTCCTTTATGGAGTGAAGATGGGCTGGGTGACAGAAGGCCAGACAATGGAGCGAATCACCATGGGCCTAGGCAAGTAAGGAGCTGCCACTGCCGTGCAAACTGGCTAAGCATAGAGCCTGGCGAAGTGTCTGGCAGGAGAAGATGCTGTGTGGTGAAGGAGCTTGTAGGGGAAGAGATCAGATGGGGTGTGTGTGTCAGCAACAGAAAAGTAGCTCACGGTCTACCATTCATCCTCTCTGCCTTGTGGGGCATGGAAGAAGGCTGGGTGCGTGAGAGCTGGCAGGCCTGGCAATGGGACAAGCTGCTGTGGCCCCAAGGCCTGCTGCTCCCTTGTGGACCAGGTGGGTGTAGAGCCCAGTGGTCAGAAGAGCTGGTGGAGGAAGAGGCTGGGCAGGGGAAAGTGGTGGGGGGAACTGGCGGAGGAGAAGGAGGAAGCGGAGCTCAGTTGACTGCTGTCCTGCTCACCCTCCCTTGTGGAGTAGGAGAAGTGAGATTTCTTCCACCTAAAGCAAAAATTAATGTTTGAGTTAAACTTTTGAGCTCCTTTGAAAGGTACCTTTCACAGACTGGGTTGCTAACTTTTAAGCTA